GGAGCTGTCATTCAAAAAACCTGTAGCAGATGCCGGAATCACAACACCAACATATAGCCAATATCCTATTATTTACCTGGACTTTTCTCGCACCCCCTGGAATATCGTCTCGCACCCACAAGGGGTGCGAGCACCCCAGGTTGGGAACCCCTGGCCTAGAAAGACAAGAACACACTGAAGAAAGAAAACAGGCTTTTGAAACAGGAAACTACCCTTACAAGGACAAAGAATATGTTTTATGAATGTGAAATAAACCGACTCAACAAGGTAGGATTCTTGTTTTAATATTCATATATCTATGTAAAAATCATATTCATGTATCTTTTTTATCCACTTGATAATATTTCATTGTAGAGTATGTGGATTATTATGCCTACAGACAGACTAATCATGGTATATTTTCATTCATGGTAAGAAAAATAATAACAAATATAAAGGAATAAGGAAAAGGAAACACAATTACTGTACCTGCTGTACTTTTCTTCTGCCAGCCTCGCTAGTAAATCAGACAGATAAGAAACACAACTAGATGAGCTAATTTTCTATCTTTTTGTAAGGAAAATTGACAGAATCTTGAAAATCTGCAGGTACAATCTTCCCATGCCACTTTTAACTGCCCGAATAACTAGAATGGGTCCTTCCTCTGACAGTTGAGATTTGGGACTCCTCTTTCCCTTAGCTGATTATTTCCTAGGCAGAATTTCTTTCCCTTGTTCCTCAAGATCATTTCCACAAACCATTATATCCAACTCATTATGCTCCAATGATCCAGGAAGCTATCCCTCTTATCTGCTTCTGAATATTATTTCATTTTTAAGGATTTAAACCCCTTTTGTATAGGTAATTGGTCTTGCACATTTCCATCAAGGTCATCTGCCTTACTCTCTATCTAGCATAGAATGCAGCAGCTATTTTAATATGTGAATCTTTGGGCATGAATAGATAGAAGCCAATAGCTATCTGGATGTTACAGATATATAGCATTGTCAGTAAATAAATATATTTCCATCAGGAAGGCAGAAAAAAACATTGAATGTATTTTTTAAATAAAAATATGTTTCCTGCTTAACCTCACACATATTTCATGTGGAAACATATTTCTTGAAAAAGTTTTCTAAGCTTAAAGCTAAGAAACGGACCAGAAAATTACCAAAATAAATAAATAAATAAAGTTGTTAGATTTGGTTCACTATAAACTTGTAAAGATGTGTAGATGGAGAAACAAAATGTGATTTTAAGAAATAAAAATTCTTATTTATAATCTAATTTATATAATCTAATTTGAGACTCAGTGTTTAGATCAGGCTCAAAGAATAACAAAATTGCCAGCAATAGTTCAGTTTGTAGAAAATAAATGCCACTAGTTTGTTTTGCATTTGTGAGAACAGTATTTATCTTTACCTTTTTTTTGGATTCAAATTTATTTGTGGATATTGCCCATGATTATGAGCTCTCAAATCTTTTTTCTTTGAATGCTGAAATTTATTTAAAATTAATAGTGTATTATAAAGTATTATCTAAAAACTAAAATAACTTATTTTAAAAATAAGTAAAAGAACTAGACTATCTGCCACAATGTTTGACAGAGTTTACATATTGGGCTAAGATATAATCGTCAGTTGCTGGCATGCAAGTAATATTAAACAAAGATCATACAAATGCCATAATAATTTAACACGTGAACCCAGACAGTTACAAAATTTTCTTAAGCAAAAAATAGTCTATATAGACTATCTCATGTTCTCTATTAAACTGAATGGCCATACAATTGAAAGTGATAAAACAAACCAGCAAAAAATTAGCAGGCAAAACACACCAAAGGCACAGAATGTTCCAAAGCTATTGGTAATAATACTATGAGTACAAAAGAATGGCATTTATTCACCCATTTAAATCTATTGTGTTGCAGCAGAACAGAGATAAAATTAATATATCCAGATGACCTCTCCTCTTTTCTGCACCACAAAGAAAACAATTTAGTGGAAGAGGATGATGTTTCAAACATTTGCTGGAAAAGTGGAAAAATTGAATGGATTCTAAATATTTTTGTTAGATAAATGTTTATTTACAAGCAGTGGAAATCTTTGTAATAATGGTTTCTGCAAGAATCTGAAATTGCTACTATAAAGTAAATAAGGTAACTAGTGTAGTAATAGTACAACCCCTGATTTTTCCATTCATTTGCATCCTATAAAATCCCATCTTCAGGTGTACATAATAAAGATTTAAGGCCATATTTTAGACAATAGCTCCACTGAATATAATTTGGCGTTGGATTAGGAAATAGTAATAGTTTCCATTGAATATAATTCTACCTCCAAGAATATATATAGTCGAATTGTACAGTTGAAGCAGTATACTTATTTAAAATGGTAAGAGAAATGATGATGCAAAAATCAAGCCAAAACTATTCTTATTTTGAAAAAAAAAATGAAAGTAGATAATATTTGGATAAAATTGCATCACATAAAGAATTGAAATCTATTATAATTACTCTAGGTCAGGGGTGTAAAACTCGCTTCATCACGGCAGTGTCATGTAACGTATCACAATTTTTTTTCCCTTTCAGTAAACTGGGCATGGGCATGGCCAGTACATGATGCATCTGGCCTGCAGGCCATGAATTTGACAGCCCTGCTCTAGGATCTATAGTAATGACAATGGATTTGCATTCTTTATGTGACACTATTTGATTTTGGTTTGATTTTTGCAACTCTTAAATTACTAGAGTCTAGATAATTCTAATGCATAGAAGAAATGTGAAACCAGATCTTGTATACATTAATTGAGTTGAGATTTAGATTTTGGATTAGTTGGGAGAAATATGTATGTATGTATGTATGTATGTATGTCTCTTACTGTTCTTTGTTTGCCTTTAGCTTTTGGGGGTTAAGTCTCTTTTGGATATCTTGAAACATCAAAATGCATCCTCCCAGAGTTCTCATGTTGAGGCATTGGATAGGAATTGCAACCAAGAAGGGATGGAAATGCAAATTGAACTTCTCCCGGAACAGGTATAGGTGGACAAAATATAACTCTTTGCAACATTCAGTTAATTCTGAAAATTGTGGAAGCATCATCATCATGGGGTTCAGAGCTTATCATGACTACAGGGTTAAAACCTGTACACACATTAAAAAGGGGCAGAATTCTGATTATGCACCTACCTTGGCTTTTTTTCGTACATTATTGCAAATACCCTTATTGGAGACTGCTTATTCAGAATGAATGTGGGGTTATGTCACTGTGAAATATGAAAATATTTGCGTGTTGAATTGATAGACTAAACAAACTATCCTTGACTTGCAACAGTGATTTAGGGACCATTCAAAATTTCAATGGCATTGAAAAAGTGACTTATGATGTTTTCCACACAACTGTTGCAGCATCCCTGTGATCACATGATCAAAATCTGGATGCTTGACAACTGACTCAGATTTATGACAGTTGTAATGTCCTGGGGTGATGCAATCATCTTTTGTAACCTTCTGATAAGCAAAGTCAATGGGGAAGCCAGATTCACTTAACAACCATGTTACTAACAAGTAACAGAGTACCAGAATAACAGAGTACCAGAACTTGGAGGTCTTCTAGTCCAACCCCTGCTTAGGCAGGAAACCTTACATCACTTCAGACAAATGGTTATCCAATCTCTTGTTAAAAACTTCCAGTATTGGAACATTCACAACTTCTGGAGGAAAGTTGTTCCATTGATTAATTGCTCTAACTGCCAGAAAATTTCTCATTAGTTCTAGGTTGCTTCTCTCCTTGGTTAGTTTCCACCCATTGCTTCTTATCTTGCCTTCAGGTGCTTTGGAGAATCGGTTGACTCCCTCTTCTTTGTTGCAACCCTTTAAATATTGGAACACTGCTATCATGTCACCCCTAATCCTAGTAGTAACTTAACAACTACAGTGATTCACTTAACCCTTAAGTGAATCAAAGAAAGGTTGTAAAATGGGACAAAATTCACTTTAACAAATATGTTGCTTAGCAACATAGATTTTGGGCTTGATTGTGGTCATAATTGAGGACTACATGTATATGAGAAAAATGCATATTAGAAAATGATTGTTGAAGAAATGAAGATGGAAAATGATACTGTTTAATGCATATGCACAGAAAAAGATAATTACAAAGAATGTATCAAAAATCAAACACCATGGGATGCTAAGATTAAAAGTTCAGGAAACTGATTTTGATGTAAATTTAAAAAACTGTTTACAGTGAGTGAAACACATTTCAAGTGAGTGAAAATTAATCCGTGGAACAACTTGCCTCCAGAGGATGTGAATGTTCCAACACTGGAAGTTTTAAGAAGAGTTTGGATAAGCATTTGTCTGAAATGGTATTGGGTTTCCTGCCTAAGAAGGGGATTGGACTAGAAGACCTCCAAGGTCCCTTCCAACTCTGTTATTCTATTCTATTCTATTCTATTCTATTCTATTCTATTCTATTCTATTCTATTCTATTCTATTCTATTCTATTAGCACTAAAAACAGAGGTGATATTCAGCAGGTTCTGACCAGTTCTGGAGAATGGTAGTGGAAATTTTGAGTAGTTCAGAGAACCGGCACATATCACCTCTGACTGGAGATTTTGCAGTATCTTTCCCCTGCTACGCCCACCAAGCCACGCCCACAGAACCAGTAGTAAAAAAATGTGAATCCCACCACTGACTAAAAAGGACTAAAGAGTAAAACTTCAAATAAAAGTAATACAATTATTTGGAATAAAACTGATTTGAGGGACTGCTGTAAGGTATATTTTAGAGATTAGTATAGGAATGAGATGTGATCTTAAAACAAATGTGATAAAGTTAATTCATTCAAAGAAAATCATAGATGCTATGAGAATGATGAAAAATAGTAGAGCTGAGGATATAAAAGCTACAGCTGAAGAAATGTTAAAATATGAATATTGAACATGTTTGAACATCTTTGTACTGAAAAAAGTTTGAAAGTCATTTTTGTTTTATATTTTTATGGGGTTTTTTTTTGTCACTTTTTAACTTGTTCTGTTATTTACTTCTCCACTTTCCCATCATGTTCCTTGCATTTTAATGTTTATAAAATATAATAAAAAGATTTGTAAAAAAAGATATTTTATGCAAACTCATGTACTTTGCATGTAAATATTTTTCTATATGACATTTATGCCCTACAGACAGAAGCAAACAAATTTTCATTTTTGTGCTTCTTTTACTTAATAATGTGCCTAGAGAGCTGTCACATTAAATAATGCCAATTGTAGGTTCGGATTTATGAAGAAGACTTCAGAAAGGAAAGATCTGATAGAGAGAGAATTAGTGAAGAGAAAGAACTTCTGCAAAAACTTAATGAGCAATCGCAGTCCCAGCTGGACATATTAAAATCTCAGGTATGTCTCAAAACAAAAGTATCATTCCCAAAATACATACTTTATTTTTAGTTTTTCACTTCCAGTGTAACCCAAGAAATAACTGACATAATATTTGATATGAGATCTTCAGGTTGGATCAAATCTTTCTAGACACAACTGCAGGATACCACGAATAGTATTTCACCAATATAATACAAACTCTTGTGTCTTTTTTTGCATGTATCGGGACATTGCATAAATTTACAGAAGGGTGGAGTTTCTGCTATGATGGTACAACATTGCTTTTGTCTATTGTGATATTGATAGAACATGAAATATAATAAATATTTTTCATATATAGTAAGTGAGATAACTTGTCATTAATACACTATAGCCTTAAATTTATATAAATAATATAAATGTTCTTTTTATCTACCTCTTCTTAATGGATTCCAGAACATAGAAAAAAAAAGCAAAACAAATAATAATGTTTCAGTAATGTCTCCTATTGCAAGATTTTCATTTTAAGCCTATGCTAAAATCTCTGGAAGTTAGTGCAGCATACTCAAAAATAATTGTGCATAGGATCTCAACCACAAGAAACATGGTAAAAAAATAATACACCTGTATTTGGAGCCTAAATCTAAATGTGACATCACCAGTGATTTTTTTCAGTAGAATTGTAACTATTTTACTAAACCTTTAGACCAGTTTTCCCAACGTAATGCATTCCAGATACATTGGATTCTCTCAGGATCATCCTAAAAATAGTTCTGACTGGAGGATTGTGAGATAGGAAAGTGAACATAACATAGAGTGGGTGAAGTCTGCCAAATCATAGCAGAATAGTAGCATTGTGCCAACAAAAAAGTCCCTAAATTCTTGGAATACCAGTTTCTAACTTGGTCAGGACCTGTCACTTCTGATCAGCCAGTTTGCAGTTCTTCTAAAGAAACAAAGGAAGGAATGAAAAAAGTGGCAATGAGTCATACTCTGTTTCAATAAAACAGTTCTGTTGTGCCCCGCTGGTGGCTGGCGGAGCCGGCAGCAGAGTCGGACAGTAGTGAGGAGGTTGGGGAGGAACCCGGGCCATTCCTAGAGGCCGAGGAAGGCTCAGATGAGGGATTTGCATCAGAGGTAGAGATGGGGCCAGGGCAGGCTGGCAGTCATCAGCTGCCTTCGGCAGTTGGAGGGGGGGGCTTCTGGAACTGGTTCCCAGCCTGTGCATGCGTAAGCTGCCAAAAGGAAGGCACAATTAAGAATTCAAGGTTGACATGGGAGTAAGGTCACGGGTGGACGGTGAATGGCCTCTCCCATTAGGATGAAAATAGAAGCAAAAGGGGAGGGGGCTTTTGCAGGAAACAACTCTCTTGTTCGGTCGTTTGTTTGTTCCAGCCTTGTGGAGATTTGTCTGTATAACCCAGTCCTTCCCTGCCAGCAGTGAGTGTGGAACTGTATACCAGGCAGGGTTCCAGGATTGATAAAGATCTGAGCTCATTAGTATACCTTCGCAAGGCTATTTGCCAAGCTGTTGTCTGACTGTGAATGAAATAAATTCACATTCATGTAATAAAAGAGCATTTTGCCGGGACTCAGAATTGACAGTGCTTTTTGGGGAGGCCTAGGACAGAACAAGTTCTATAAATGCAAATGATTTATGCAATCTTTATTGTATAAGAGAATGAGTTCAATCTGTGAGTAACAAGGATTATTTGTATCCAAGACATCCTTGACAGGAATTTGTTCAATAGTTTCTTGACAATAATTGATAAATGAAGGTTTCCATAACCCTTCTGAATGTTACATGCTATTACATTCCATTTAGAACAGGGGTCTCCAACCTTGGCAACTTTAAGACTTGTGGACTTCAACTTCCAGAGTTCCTCAGCCAGCAAAGCTGGCTGAGGAACTCTGGGAGTTGAACTCCACAAGTCTTAAAGTTGTCAAGGTTGGAGACCCCTGATTTAGAACATAAAACATGAATGTAAGGACTGTAAGGACCTCAATAGTCTTCTAGCCCAGCTACTGCTCAAGGCAGGAAAGGGCCTTCTACCATCCCAGTCAAATGACTGCTCTTGACTGAGAGCTTTATTCATAAGAAGCAATATTTTTTTATCAACATTACACAATTTTATTCATCAATGTCGGGTTTTTTTACTTTGGAATACTGTAAAAACAACCACATTTCTGAGTTATTAAATGATGCATCAAAGGACCACTAGAGGGCACAAGAGATCTTCCTTTCAACAATTCTGAAATTTGCTTTTAAATAGCTGCCTGATCTTGGCCAATACACTTTTTCATGAAGGCTTGTTGGCAGACAACTCATACTTGCTTCCTTATTGAATGCAGGGTCCTGCTACTCTGAAACCCAGCAAGGTACTGACAAATGTGTATTTAGACAAGGCTGTAAGACTTCTTTTTAAAATTTCAACTTTTAATAAGTGTAATAATTAAATGCCATTTTCATGCAATATTTAATAGGTCTTACTAATGCCACTTCTTTCTTTATGGCTGCATATTATATAGTATATATTTTTATTTTATTGGCTGAATTTCTCCTCTTCACAGATTAAACACTATCAGACAGAAAATGAACTTTTTCAGAAGCAAGTAAAACAACAGGTTTGTGTTTTTTGTTTTAGATTTATTTAGCAACTCCTAAATTTACAGACTATATTTTTAATATAATTACTATGATTAGGCTAAAATTGACTAATATTCACCTTTATAGTTACTGCAACTTAATATGCTAAAGTTTTTTTAAATTCATTATCATTCTTCATATAATTCAATATTTTTCTACTGCACTAATAAAAATATTTGGCTGGCATACATACCTATTTGTTGTTTAAAACAATATAGAAATCAAACATACAACCCTAATAGTATATCTATAATTATAATATAATACATTTAGAAAATTAAAGTCATAACCAAATTTAAGCTTTTAAAGTTAAATCAATAGCTCAGAAATTCTGGAAAGTATTTTGCAATCTTATTTTAGGCTAATATACTTTTTGAAAAGTATTTCCAAAAATAACATCAATAATCAGAGTTTTGATACCTGTACTTGAATAGTATATTATCTATACTCTGATAATTGGGATATAAAGTCAACAAGTTAAGGTACCCTCAGGTCAGGACAATGTGGATCTTAAAACAAAATCTTACTTTTTATTAATGTGTATTTTTAAAAATAGTTTGTACTGAACCAAAAACAATGAGCCATGAATACAAGAAATTCAAGCCATGTTTTTCTGAGAAAAATAATAGTTTCTATCAATTTTGTTTTATGTTGATTTTTATATAGGCCCAAGGTTTCCAAGCACTTACAGAAAAACATGTCTGCTTGAAGCAGTTGTTTGTTCCTTCTTGTCTTAATTGTGGGAATTGTGACCTACTTCAGCCATCCTGTGAACCTCGAATAACATTGGGGTCATGTGGTGCTAACAGAAAACAGCAGCAGCCCCTGTAAGCTGAGACTCTGTCAGCAAAAAGACTCAGAGACCAACATTTTACAACCAGATTGTGCAAGTTTTCTGTGAGAATCTAGTAACGTTAAAAAAATATGCAACTCTGCCATCAGTTAAATTTTATTTCCAAATACCACATATTTCTTTCTTAGCTATCATTTCATTATATCCTTTTTCATCACTTACCTCATCACTTTGCTTTCTTCTGGTAATTTGATACGTTTATTATGTAACAAGTAATGGACTCATTTCTATTATCTGCATTTCCTGTACATCAATTCTAAAAGGGAAAAGAAAAAACATTTTATTCTTTTTTCTTTCTTTTATAGCTGTACTTCTGTATCATTATTACTTTAAAAAGTAAGTTCAGTTTATTAAAAAGATGCATGTTTATTTTTCTCTTGTCTACAGATATATGTTATCTGTCTCTCCAATTAGAAATATATAATTTTCAATTTGAAATTATTTATGCATATTAATTTTGCAAGCAATTGTACATTTATATATAGTAGCATAAATAAATTGTAGAAAAAATATTTTCAATATGAAGTTTAGGCAGAATTTAATTTATTTTACTGCCATTTTAGTTAATTTTATGCAACCCTTTGTAAAGGAGATTGTCAAGGTGTATACATTCTTTTAGTCTGTCTTGACATAAAAACACAATGACCGGGAAAGTAGCAAATAGATAGACCACAGTAGCTAAAGTTGTAAAAGCAAACATGAGAAGCTAAAGTCATTATCAAGCTTAAGAATACTTGAGATGAAATACAGTCAGGTATTTAGAAAAGGGTAAATGAATGTACTCTATGTATGTATGTATGTGTCAATATCAAGGCACCATGAAATGTTCTGGTCTATTTCTGATCTTTTTCTTGTCTTTATTATTTCTCAAATCAATGCAATCACATGACTTTCTTTGCAGGAATGAGTGGCAAAAGCTAACAAATTTCATAAATCTTGACCCTACTTGCCAGAATAAAGGGGGAAATGTCAATTTAATATCAGTACAGCAAAGGATAATATTTGTTCATTTAGGGACATTTCCCAAAATATTTTTGCTTGGGATATAATTGTACCACAAGAGTAAATAGATTTTATTTATTATATATTTATAACAAAATAAAAATGTACACACACACACACACACACACCAGGTTTCTCAACCTTAGCAAGTCACAGAATTCCCCAGCTAATATCCTGGCTGGGAATTCTGGAAGTCCACATATTCTAAGCTTGAGAAACACTAGTATAACATAAACCAAATTTTAATAAATTTGTTATTATTTTTCTAACATGAATTTGGGCAAAATGCTTTCCACTAATGTTTTTAAAGTGAAGTTAATTAAATTTGGCTTTATCCTACAGCTTTCATAATCTGGATTTTGAGCTGCGTAATATATTCTAAACAATTTTTATCTTTAGAAGAGAATTTCAAGGATGGAATTGTTTGCTGTTTTGTACTTTTTGTGCAGTTCTTATGATTAATTTCTTATACAATAAAAGCAGCTCTCAGATGTATTTCTTTATAATCTCCCAAGCCTCAATATGTAGGCTTAGCGTATGGAATACAGTACAGTTACTTCATTAAATTTTGACTTCCTGTGTGCCTCTTTGTATCTCACATTTACTATTTACGTTTTGGTTATCCATGAAAACTTTTGTTTAGTCTGAACGCAAGTCCTGGCTCTTTATTCTTTGGAATAGTTTCAAGACCCTAATTGTGAAAATGATGTTACTTGTTGTAATACAGTGTTTGCACATTAGTGTTTGGTTTCTTTGAATATTCAGTAGTTTGACATAGCTTTTCATTAAAAAACATTTATACTTTTAGTTGCATATTTATATCTCCACATCCTTATTTTATTTATACTTTTTTATCCTTCTCTGCTAAAATACGTATACTGGGCAATTTATTCCAGTAGTTGGCTTATAGTTTTACAGTCTACAGTAACAAAAAGGAATGAGGGAGAATGGAAAGGAAAGGGGAAAAATCAAATTTCATTATCATTATCAGCTAGAAATTGTTCATTTTGACTGAGCTGTTATTACCCTAGAGCTAATGGAATGGCTTGCTATTTCCCTCTTTTAGATGGAATTCAAAAGAGTCTTCAGTTATTTGCCTCTAAAGTAAATCAGGGGATATATCTTTATCATCTAGTACTGTCTAGATCAGTTTCTCAATTTTAGCAACACTAATGTGTGTACTTCAACTTCCAGAATTTCCCAATTAGCATAAAGGTGCCAAGGTTGAAAATCATTGTTCCAGGGGGTGGTTAAACTATAGTAAGTTGCTTTTTATTTAAATGTGAAAATATTGAGATAAATAGATATTAGTTGAAGTTCTTATATAAATTGTCTAACTGAGAGTACAATGCCATAATTCTACTTAGTTCAACAAATTATCCATTTAGGCACAACATTTAAAAACAGGCTGGATTAGAGCCCCAAGTCCTACTTTCCCCTGATACTTCAGTATGAATGTTGTAAGGAAGCATGATAAGAGACTCTCTGAAAGGGTAGAATTACATCTAATGTGTGTACTGTGGCTGATAACTCCTTCCATAACTGCCATTTTGGGACAGCACCAGTGAAATGGATTCTGCTGGAACAATTAATCGGAGGAATGCCTCCAGAAGTTGTGGATGCTCCAACACTGGGAATTTTTAAGAAGAGATTTGACAACCATTTGTCTGAAATGATATTGGGGTTTCTGCCTAAGCAGAGGGTCTGACTAGAAGACTTCCAAGGTCTTTTCCAACTCTGTTATTCTGTTGTTCTGAAAATACAAAATATATCTATGCCTCCTGTTCAATAAACTTTTAATATTTTAACTTGATGTTTCAATTAAGATCTGAAATGAATACCTTAACTGAAATACTGCATGATTTTGCAAAACTTGTATTTTTTTATCTTTTCGTATTCAATGTACTTTTTGTATTCAATGTACTCAAATCCTAACTTACTGCCATCAGACATGGAGATTAGAATTCCATCTATGAGGTCAATGTGTTTTAAAATAATTGTAATAAATGCAATCAATTTCCCTTTGGAACATCTTCACCTGTCAAATTGATGCATACCAGATTTCTCTTAGTTTCTTCAGCTGACATTGACAGTCATTAGTGATCTAACTGTTTATGATAGCATCAGGTGCATTCCATTTTGCCATGTCTTCTTCTGTTCCTTTTCAAGATTAATAAAATTCTCAGAAAAGTGATTTGCTAGCATTAGTAAAGTTTGTTTTAATTTAGGAGGTTTCATCAAAAAGACAGGAATTAAAAAGAAAAACAGTTGAAGAATTTAATCAGAAGAATTATTTAATCAAATAAGAGGGAGCAATTTGGAGTAAATTACTTTGATATGACTAATGAAAAGTCTCACAATATAATTATATTTACTATTTATAATAGTCTTTGTTTGAAGTGCCTAAGAAGTCCACGTTGCTGTAATAATGTTTTATTGTTCTGCGCAGCCAGACTACCAATGGTATGTTCCTGACTGGTTTCCGCCAGATGTGCACCACAAGGAAAACGGTAAGGCAGCAGCAAACACATATTTTAAGTATTTTCTTTTAATGGATCTTTTTTTGAGGGGGAGGGTGATAGCTAATAAGCTTTCATAAGCACTCAAATGATGTGTATACAGCTCTATTTTGTAAAACTACAATGCATACATGTGGCTAAGACTATATACTCTAAATATGATACAGCTGTCAGGCGTTTTATTTTATAAATATGTTATACATTAAAAATTGTGTAAATAATGATACCCACAGAGAAGAAATGGTCATATAACTATTTTAATCTGAACGGGCCTGCCTCTTGACTGATCTAAAGGTAGATGGTGCATCTTTGATTTGTAAGGAAAATAGCCAACTTGTTTTTGCATACGAGAGGGAAATTCATTGCAGCTATCAATCAGAATAGAGTTGGAAGAGACTTTGGAGGTCCTCTAGTTCAACCCATTGCTTAAGCAGGAGATCCAGGGGTGGGATTCTACCAGTTCGCACCTATTCGCTAGAACCGGTTGTTAACATTCTAAGCAGTTTGGAGAACCGGTTGTTAAAAGAAATTACTGGCCTAATCCTGTAAGGAAGGCAGGAAGGAAACATTCTGCTGTTGCTTACAGAAACTGCCTCTCCTTTAACCCTTATTACATTCGTGGCAGGACTAGACTTCCTGTCTCAGGAACCTCTCTGGAGTTTTTCCTCCTCCTTTGCTGGTACTTTGCTTGTGTGGAATGAGCATTCAAAGTTACAATGGCACTGAAAAAAGTGACTTATGACTATTTTTCACACTTATGACTGTTGCAGCATCCCCACAGTCATGAGAGGCCAGGCGAGGAGATGCGTGCCTCGATGTGAGTGATATTGAGTTGACCACCCCCAGCCAATAACATGACCACCAAGCCATATCCACCCAGTCACATGACCACCAAGCCACGCCCACCACCTAAGCCACGCCCACAGAACCAGTTGTTAAAAATTTGAATCTCTGAGGAGATCCTGTACAATTTCAATTAGGTGGTTTCCAGTCTTTTCTTAAAAACTTTCAATGATGAAGCATCTACAACTTCTGAAGATAAGCTGTTCCACTGCTTAATTGTCCCCACTGTTAGGAAATTTCTCCTTAATTCCAGCTTGCTTTTCTCCTTGATTAGGTTCTATCCATTGTTTCTTATCTTGCCTTCTGGTGCTTTGAAAAATAAGTTGACCCCCTCAAATACTGGAATACTGCTATTATGTTACCCCTAGTCCTTCTTTGCTCTAGACTGGCCATAGCCATTTCTTACAAAACAGCCAAAGGAAATGGGGACAGACACTTTCTATGACTGCAAGATTGATTGAAGTGATTATAATCCATCACTTCTAGAATGTACTTTTTTAGTTTTATGCCAAAAAGGGTGAAAGGCATCATACTACAGTTATCCAACGGGATAAATTTCTTTTCCCCTTCAAAATAATAACCTTTCAATTTGGAGGTTTTCTTACATTCATCAA